TTTCGGGCCTAGACCAAGAAGGGTCTAGGCCCGAAACGTCAGCCTTCCTGCTGCTCTGATGCTGCTTGGCCTGCTGTGTTCATCCAGCTCTACACCTTGTTATCTTTGACTAGGTCGGGATTGTTTTCACTGGAGTTCATGAGAATGAGGGGGGGATCTCATAGAGACTCAAAAAATTCTTACAAGACTGGACAGGGTAGATGCAGGGAGGTTGTTCCCGATGGTGGGTGTGTCCAGAACCAGGGGTCTCAGTCTGAGGATTCCGGGTAGACGATTTATGACGGAGACGAGGAGACATTTCTTCACCCAAAGAGTGGTGAGGCTGTGAAATTCATTACGACAGGAAGTAGTTGATGCCAAAACACTGAATGTATTCAAGGGGTGACTTGGGGCGAATGAGATCAAAGGTTGTGAAGGGAAAGCAGGATTAGGCTATTAAGTTGGACGATTCAGCCATGATCGTGAAGTATGGCGAAGCAGGCTCGAAGGGCTCCCTCCTGCTCCTATCTTCTATGTTTCTGTGAGAGGGGAAAAGTTTTAAAAGGGACATAAGGGGCAACTTTTTCTTGCAGAGGGTAGTGCATGTATGGAACGAGCTGCCAGAGGAAGTGGTGGAGGCGGTTACAATTACGACATTTAAAAGGCATCTGGATAGGTACATGAATACAAAGAGTTGAGAGGAATATGGGCCAAATGCTAGCCAATTGGACTAGATCACTTTAGGATTTCTGGTTGGAACGGGCGAGTTGGACCAAACAGTCTGTTTTCATGCTGTATAACTTTATGACTCTATAACTCCACTCCCTCCTGCTGTTTCTGCAACCAGAACATCTGAACCATGGGAACTAACAATGGCAGTCAAAGACTCACTCTTCATTCAACATGTATTGGGTGTGGTAGAACTCCAATAATGGTCGTGTTCCTGGATATAACAGCGGCTGTATGATTGGGTTGAGGGTATGTTGCAATGGGCCACAAATTGAATATGCTCCCATCTCCTGTATCAATTGGTGAGAATGTCAGCGTGCACCTGTTAATATGGCAGAATGCATTATTTAAAGGACTCTTGTTATTCTGTGTTAACTTGTGATGTTTGTGCAGCCTTCATACTGGCTTGGGAAGCCAAGATCTGAATACATCAAAATAAATAAAGATGATGAGGAAGCAGACAAACCACTAAATACTGAATACATGGAAGATGACCCATTGGATATTGAAGCTGGCATCAAAATCAAAGACTTGACCAAGGTAGGGTATGGAATTTGATTGGTGCTTGCAATGCTACAGTTGTATTGAATCACTTTTTCACATAACTCTGCGACTCCTTTCCCCGAAAAAGCTTTTAATGCTTGGAGGCCAATTGAAAATGTCAAAACTGAAATTAAGATTTTTGTTTGGTGAGGGATATTAAGGGTCATGGAACCAAGGTGGATTGATGGTATTAGGACACTGATCTCATTGGGCCATGATCTAATTGAATGCTGAAACACACTCAAAGATCTTCTTCTTCTTTAAAATTTTGAGGTACACATTCGTAGCAACATAAGAAATAGAAGCAGAAGGAGGCCATATGCCTATCAAACCTCTTCACCGTTCTGTATGACCATGGCTGATCTTCAGCTTCAACTGAACTTTCCTGCCTGCTTCTTTTATCCGTTGATTCCTGAAGAGGCATGAAATCTGGCTATCTTGCTTTAAGTATGTTCAATCATGGAGCATCTTTAACAATTATGTGTAATGAGATCACTAGGTCTGACAGCATCTGTGAAGAAAAAAAAATCAGAGTTAACATTTTGGATCCAGTGACCCTTCCTCAGTTCTGCAAGACTCTGGTGAGCTTTGTCAGGAACTTCTGTTTTTGTTCCCGATTTACAGCATCTGCAGTCCTTTCAGTTTTTATGGGTAATGAGATACCTTTCATTCTTTTAACCTTCAGATACTATAAGTCAAAGTAATTCAGCCATTGTTCAGTCATTCAAAATCTAGGGGAATGGTTCACAACAGACATTCACACGTGCCTATCCAAGAAAGTGAAGAAGACCAGCAAAAAGAAGTTACAAATTACTTAAAAATCAAAGATATTTACATTATTTAAGATAAGTTAATGAGTCTAGTAAGTCAATATCTCGTGGCATCCTTTCAGTTGGCTGTTCTAGTTTGCGTAAGTTCAGATGCAGGTGAATTCTAGGTGAGGGTGTGGAAGTTATAAATTGGAGATTGGTTCATTTTGCAGGTAAAATACAGGATTCTTTCCAGAATTCAGACCTTTGAGTGAGATTGAGAGCAGAGACAGGCGTTATTTAAGTCTGGAACAAAAAAACAGAAATTGCTGGAAAAGTATCTGTGAAAAGAAATCAGAGTTAATGTTTCGGGTCCAGTGACCCTCAGAGTGATGGTAGCTAGGAAAATGTCAGTTTATATGCAGAGGATAGGGTGGGGGGAGGGGTGTCAGGAGTAAAGGACAGAGCCCAAGGAGAGAGAAGAACAGTTGGACAGACAAAGGAGTAGATAACAATCTGGCTTGGAGGATGAATAGCTGTTAATGGAGACTGTTAATAGCTAACATTAGGTAGTATGTAATTCCATACTGTGTGATAACAGGGCATGGTGTGCAGGGTAGGGGGCTAGGTCATGGGAGAGTTTAGGCCCTTAAATTATTGAACTCGATATTGAGTCCAGAGGGCTGCAGGGTCCCCAAGCGGAAAATGAGGTGTTGTTCTTGAAGCTTGCGCTGAGCTTCACTGGAACACTGCAGCAAGCCTAACACACAGATGTTGGCCGGGGAACAAGGCGCTGTGTTAAAGTGGCAGGCAACTGGAAGTTTAGCGTCTTTTTTGTGGACAGAATGTAGATGGTCTGCGAAGCGGTCACCCAGTCTACACTTCATTTCACCAACGTAGAGGAGACCACGTTGTGAGCAGCGAATGCAGTAGACTGGATTGTAGAGAAGTGCATGTAAAGCACTACTTCACCTGGAATGTACGTTTTGGCCCTTGAATACTGAGGACGGAGGAGGTAAATGGGCAGGTGTTACACCTTTGGCGGTTGCAGGAGAAGGCGTTGTGGGGGTGTGTTAGGAGTGAAGGAAGAGAGGACCAGGGTGTCCCAGAGGGAACAGTCTCTGCAGAAGGCGGACAGCGCAGGGGGTGAATATGTGTCTGTTGGTGGCATCTTGCTGAAGGTGGCAGAAATGGTGTCTGATGATCTTCTGGATGTGGCTGCTGGTGGGATGGTAGGTAAGGACAAGGGGAACCCTATCACTGTTTTGGGAGGCAAGAGAAGGGGTGAGGGTGGAAGTGCAGAAGATGGGTCTGACCCGGTTGAGGGCCTTGTCGAAAATGGTGCTGGGGAATCCTCAGTAGAGGAAGAAGGTGGACATTTCGGAGACTCCTTTGTTGAAGTTGGCCTCATCGGAGCATATGCAAGTTCTCCCATGTCCTAGGCCCTACCCTATACACCAGACCTTGTTATCACATAGTCAGTCTCTGTTAACAGCTATTCAACCTCCTAGCCAGTTCGTTATTCACTCCTTTGTCTGTCCAACTGTTCTTCTCCCTCTTAGGGCTCTTTCCCCACCTATCGTTTACTCCTGACCCCCTCCCTCCCAAGCTATCTTCTGCATATAAACCGACAATTTTCTAGCTACCTTCCTAGCTAGTTCTGAGGAAAGGTCACTGGACCTGAAACATTAACTCTGATTTCTCTGCACAGATGCTGCCAGACCTGCTGAGCTTTTCCAGCAACTTCAATTTTCGTTTCTGATTTACAGCATCTGCAGTTAAGTCTGGGGCTGTTTTAAGTACTTGTAACACAGAAGAGTGAGGAAAGAAGTCAAAACCTGCATGATTGAAGGGGACTCAAATAAGCCATAAATTTGAGTCGTATAACTGTGCTTCTGGCACTGAACTACCAAGGTGGTTCAATGTTCTTCATCAAGGCCCATTGTGTTTTATAACAGATAACTGTGGAGTCATTAACACCAAGCCAAGCATTAATTGGTTTCGAGATAACAAGGTGTAGAGCTGGATGAACACAGCAGGCCAAGCAGCATCAGAGGAGCAGGAAAGCTGACGTTTCAGGTCCTAGACCCTTCTTCAGAAATGGGGGAGGGGAAGGGGATTCTGAAATAAATAGGGAGAGGCGGGAGGCGGATAGAAGATGGAAAAAGGTGAAGATAGGTGGAGAGGAGACAGACAGGTCAAGGAGGCAGGGTTGGAGCCAGTTATGGTGAGTGTAGATGGAGAGTTAGGGAGGGGATAGGTCAGTCCAGGGAGGACGGACAGGTCAAGGTGGCAGGATGAGGCTAATAGGTAGGAGATGGGGATGGGGCTTGAGGTGGGAGGAGTGGATAGGTGGGAGGAAGGACAGGTTAGGGAGGCGGGGA